TTGTTGTTGTTATTGTTGTTGTTGATATTGTTATTGTTGTTGTCATTGTTGTTATCTCTATTGTTATTGTTGTTGTTGTTTTTTCAGGATGGTGATATCGATTTAGCTCCTTTGTTAGCGTTTGTTCCAGATGATTTAAAAAAGTACAAAACATTGTTCGAACAATTCATCTCAAAGGTTAATATGTAATTTTGTATGTGATATTTAAACTGCTCTATCTAATATTTTTCGTTTTTAGTATTAATTTCTTCCACTGATTTTTTTTTTTTATTAACTTTTGCTAATTATGATTTATGAAAGTTTGTCTTTTTTTTTTCAGGTAATCCCTTACCAACATTTCTATTTTACACTTATGTTACCTTTCTTACGATTCTCCTGGACAATACAATCCATACTGTTTGTTATTAGTGCACCATATAGCCAGTACAGACAACATGTTATTAATGCCTCTGTTGAACAGGTCATTTCAAATTCTGTAATTAAGGATCACTTTTGAAGGATAATATTGAAAGGAATCATGAAAACATATTTAAAATGAAATTTTATGAAAATATTGACTGATTCTTTCATTCTTTCTTGAAGATAAACAACTAATCTTTTTTTCCAAATAACTCAAATTTAAATAATTGTTTGTAATATCCAGGTTTGTATCTTACTGCATTGGTCATGGGTTACCTTTCAACTCTGGCTTCTTCCGACAGGATCAATAAGAATTATATATTTTGCAATTAGTCAATTAGGCGCTGGATTTTTTCTCGCTCATGTCGTTACTTACAGTCACAATTCTGTTACCAAATTTCCGTGTAAGTTTTTATGTATGTATATGCTTTTTATGAAATAAGCATGCATAATAAGAGGAATTTCATGATGACAATTATTTTAAAATCCATCTATTTACTTCCTAATATATAATAATTGTTTTATAACAATTAATTCCAAATATCTGCATATCACTTTGATGTTTATTTATTCATATTTCATTAATTTGATGCTATGCATGCATATCAACTATCACCATTTGTAATTAATAAAATTTAGATTTCAATACCAATACTGAACTACAAATTAACTGTCCTTCAATCATTTTGTGTTTTAGATCAAAGTCGTTTATTGAATAATTTCCCATGTCTTCATTTACTGACAACTCGAAATATGTTACCATCACCGATTGTTGATTGGTTTTGGGGTGGCCTCAATTATCAGGTCACTTTTAACTGTGAATTCCTTTTCTTTAGCTTAATAGTATCATCATACGAATTTCGATATTCCAAAAAAAAAAAAAAAAAATTTTTCGCAAAATTTGACAAAAATATTATATCGCTGAATATTTCAGATTGAGCACCATCTATTTCCTACAGTACCTCGTGCGAATTTACCGCGAGTATCAATAAAGGTCAAGAAGTATTGCGAAATGAACGATCTCCCATATTTAGCAGATAATTACTGGACAGGATACAAATTAATTTTACATCAGCTCAGAAGTATTGCCAAATCGGTAAGCAAGATTACATGCCCCTATAGCGAAAATTTATGTGATGGTTAAAAACATCTTAGAAGTATGAAAAAAAAAAAAAAATTCATTTCTTAATACGATGTACATAACAGTAACTAACATTACTTTAGATTCAATGATAAGAGGTTCCAAATTATGCTGCAAGTTTACAAAACATACAAAAATACCACCGAAGCTTAAATTTTTAATTTTAAAATATCTCAGTGTACCTTTTATCATTTTGAAAGAAACTACCAACTGGAGAGCTCATTATTACCAGGCCATTTATATCAAATATGAATGGATATGAATATAGAGGGTGAAATAACAAATTTCTTGGCAAAATTCCTCCTCAAAAAAAATCGAAATTCAAATTCAATGGTATTAAATTTTTTTAAAAAATAGAAAAAGAAATCAACAAAAAAACAAATACTTTGGATTAAATTCAACGTATATCACTGACCTAATGCATGATTGTAACTATTAATTTGTACTAAACGATAAATGAACAAACGACAATATACATTAAGCATTTATAAAGATACAGATTATAAAAATGCAATAATATCAAGTTCTAAGATAGCAGTAGTTAAAAAAAAAATGATAAAAAAATACAAATAAAATATACCCTTCTCGCTAGTACAAATAAATGTAACAGTAAAAGAAACAAAAAACTGTTTTTTAATGAAGCACTTCGGGAATAATGAAAGGAATATAAGTGTAATACACTAGATGACAATAAGATGTTTTTACATCTGGAAGGCTGAAACTAAAAATGGATTTAATATATAAAATTGGCCTAATTCAGCATTTGATTTAATATTTCGAAAAAAAAATTTTTGAGTAAAAATAAAGACTAAGAGTTATTAGTCTAATTATGACTTTAGCTTCAAAAATTCAAAAAACGCAATAAATAAATGCGCCTAGTAAAAAAATTAAAAAATCATATAATCCGACTAATAAGCTCGCCAATATGTGTTACATTAATCACTAAACAATTAAGATATGTATGAAAAACAAACAAAAAAAATCGTTATGAGATTAGCGAACTACTTTATTTCAATATTAACATTAGAAGAGATATGGTCCGCTGATCAATGGTTAAAAGTGTTCAGTATTTAATTCCAAATCGCCATAAATCTAATGAATTATCAGCGCTAAGTAGTGAAACTAATATTGCGAAAATTCCGGGAATAACTATTGCTGGTGTTGATTTCTGTCGAAATAAGGTAACCAATTCAGTAACAAAAAGACCAAAAATACAAGCGTAAAAAGATAGAATGAATACTGCAATATCGTACATTTCCGCAAATTTCAATACAATATTTAGGAAAATTCCTGCAAAGTATTTGCAGTTAATAAACACATAAATAATAATTTAAAAAAAAAGCAGTAATTAGATGATTTCAAAAGTGAATGTATTATGAATTCGCATTAGTTCGCATATGAAACTACTTGTGAGCAACGAAATGAACTGAAGAAATAAAAAATGGTTTAAAACTAGTTGATTTAAACTTTAAAGCTTAAAATATACAACTGAAAATTACCTGGAACTATAATGTCAACAGTTGAAATTCCAGCAGGCCTTCTGTTTTTCCCCAATGGAATGGTTAACATAACTGGTGAACGAGGATGCTTCGTTACCAATGCTGGAATTAGAAAACAAAATTTGTTCGTAATTTATTCAATTCTACTGATCATCACGGAACAAAATAGTTTCACATATCTTTGAATTCGAATTTTTGCTTCTACCACATAAAGATACAATTTTATGGAATTTTATAAGCGTCTGTTTCATTCCTTGCTCTCTCTGTTAACCAATCAAAGCATAATAATTAACTTTAGCAATATCGAAGTCAACAATTTCTCTATATCTTAATAGAAAGAACTAACAGAAAAGATCGACACAGTAAAACCAAAATATGTCAAACGAAATCATTCCAAGGAGAAATAAAAAGCCAGCGAAATAACTTGCTGTCTAAAAATAATGCTGATATTACATACCATAAAAAAAAAATTATCTAGTGGGAATCTTATAAATTATCAAAGAGAAAAAAAAACCCATCCAACCTCCGATCTATAGTGCATTCCTTAAGCTTGATACGCTTATACGGATTTTACCTTTCAGGTAAATAACACATCGCTGTCAGANAAAAAAAAAAAAAAAACTTGACGTTAGACCAATGCGGTCGAAAATTAAAATGTAGCCACCATTTCATATTACATCCAATCATAAAAACTTAACATTCACACCTAATATGCTACAAAAATTTTTATTAAACCTTTATATGTTATAAGATTTTTCTTTTTTAAATTATCCAAACTTACTTCAGTACGTGCAATGATAACATAAGATGTTGCAATACCCAAAACATCATTAACAAACCATGTCCACTTGATCTCATGAAAAATTCCCAATAATATAGCAATGACGATGGACAGTTGCTTCATTTTAGGATGATGATAGTAAAATATGTGATCTGCAAAGTATTCATTAGAACTAAAATGTATCAGGAAAATGTTTAGATTAAAATCAATCAAAAAACCAACGTTAAAAAAAAAACAAGAGAAGATTAACGATATAAAAGGAAACATTTCGACAATATTTGACACTCGAGACAAATATACAATATTAAACACTCATTATCTAAATGAACGAAAAAGGATGAATTTCTTTCAAGCAACAACTAATTATAATTAAATTTCTCACTTCAATATTATATGGTGATATAAGATACATTTAATAGAGTTCTCCAAGATAAAAAAAGTTTATCTAAATTTATAAAAATTCCTCAAGATATTTTGCTTTAGATTTTAGAACGCGAAAAATCAATAAGTTTTAGAACTCGAGAAAGGCCCACATTACTGGATTATGAACGTTAAGTTAACAATGTTTCTACGATGCGGTTTAATTCTAGATCGATTATTCAAGCCTACTTATCTAGATTTATATCATGAATGATGTTTTTAAATAAGACTGACTAATTTTAGGAATTAAACTTTTATATGTATAGTAGATCAGCGCAAAAACTTACAGAACTTACTATCAAATATTTCAACCAATGTAATTTGTACAGCAATAACACCTAGCCAGAGTGGTATATGAATAGCAATAAGCCGACCTAAGATGACCAAAACAGAATGCTTTGATATGCCAATCGATGGACACTGCATAACTGTTACTACCTCATCCACTGATGGGAAGAAAAAAACCTGAAATATGAAATAAAATAGGATTAAATCACTCAAATTAAATTACCCAATAATCTGGCTAATATTTCCCATAACAAACCTTGACTATTTTTTTGTATATCTCAGATCGTTTACGTTCAATAGCTATTTCATCGTCGCTTAGAATAGAAGATCTTCGCAATAATGCTGTTTCAGGGGATGAACTTTCTCGATGAGTTTCATCAGAAGGAACTGCTTCATCAACATTTTCGATTTCTTCTTCGTTTTCTGCAAAAAAAAAGGATTTTTTTTAAATGCAATAGCTCGATAAATTGAAAACTGCTAACCCTTAATTAAAACGTCCTTAAATGAAGAATTTGGCCGATTTCCATCATTAATCAAATATTCCTCTAAATTTGAATCGTCCACATTTTTCATTTTTTCAAACAAATCCTCGCTTAATTTTGTCTTCATCTCTTCATCGTCTTTAGAAATAAAACGATTAATATAACTACATGTAATAAAAACAGTATGATTACTGTAACAAATGCAAAGCTAATTCAGTAAAACGATAAATTCAATATGAAAAGCATTGAAATTTTTGACTAAAAATTTAGTTAGAGTTCCGGTATTAAAAGAATAGAATCTATCGTTTTTTTAGCATATTTATGCATAAAATTAAAATTTTGAAAAATTTGTTAAGTCGAATAACTAATATTTAATGTTTAATGATATGTAAATGATATTTAATGTTTCATAATAGTGAAAAAATTTACTGTTTGCAACAGCTGATTCTGAAATACTATCCAATTTTGTAGGCATTTTTTTCACTAATTGACGTGATATGCTCGATGCACGTAACTGAAATTACTACTGCTTACAGTCAATACGTAAGGAATAATTTTAAAATACAATCATCATTGTCAAAGAAAAATCGGTTAATTGAAACGAATCAACCAAAAATTTACCTCAAATCGTTTTTTTCCTGCCATTTTTTCATCCATGTTATTATTACTAGATAGTTTTAAACTGTAATGTAAAATAATCAACATAACTGAGGCCACTATTGGAACAGCAATTGCAATTTCATTTTCTAGGAATACGATTTTTTTTGCATCACGCTGAAATAAATTTCAAACTAACAGCTTCAAATTTCGATTTGAAATTTAACTAGAATTACAAAATCATGCATATCCTTAAAATTTTGGAACCTCAAAAAAATATATGGAATAGGATCGTCGACATCCAGAATAAATAATAATTGCTGCAACCAGGAGTATTATATTCCATGCCGTGAACATAATATAGTCCATATCTTTTCGGAATAAATGCAAATTTTTTTAACGCTAAAATTAAAACTTCTAATTATTTATTCAACGCATTTCCAACCTGTTTGTTCTTTTCACAAATAATTATTGAAAAAATATTTCAGGAATGAAAAATTTTCCATTATGGATCATATTTCTTGACCGTAAACATATCAAACCAGGAAAATGAAGCAAACTTGTAAATTAAATCCCATTGATTCATCAGGAATGCTTTTCCATCTGGAAGGGAAACCGCAAACAATTTTTACTGCATCAAATGAGGGATAAAAAAAAAAGTTATATTTATATCTACCTCATACAACAAAAAGAGAAAAAGAGGAGGAAGGAGAGGAAAGAAGGTAATTCATAAGAAGTAAACAAAAGATATAATGTACGGGGAAAAGGAGAAAGAAAGAGAGAGAGAAAGTTATATGAAAAAATTTGGCATCAAAGAAAATTTGAGAAATGCATATAACTTTTTTAACTTAAATTAAAGAAAAAAGAATAATAGCAAAATGGGTAAGGGTGAGATTTTTTACGATAACAAAAATGAAGAAACGGATGAAATCATCACATCCGATATCTCTCAACAATATCTTCATTAATTTTAAATCGAAGTTCAAAGTTTAAATTCAAAACAAATCAGCACGATCATTAACATCATTAAACAATAATGCAGCAATCTTTTGTTAATCACACGACAAAAAAAAAAAAAACATTCATTAACTACTGACGATATATATTTCTGCACTCACATACACATATATATATATATATAACTTGATTGCAGCTGCATAGTTTACAAAAAAAAATTGCAGGTAAGATAACATGCAGTGCAAGCAGTTTGAATAATTGCATGCGCGTTATAAATGATGGGAAAGACTGTAGTTTTCATTGAAATGTCGCAAATTCTTTTTCTTCATTTAAATGAGATTATATGGTGCAATCAGTTTTATTTTTCACTTAAATGACAAATTGTCTTAAATCGTTATTTCAGATATAAACAACACAAAATGAAAGATAAAAAAAAAAGAGAGAGAAGGGATTAGAGAAAAAGGAAGAATGATAGAAGTCAAGTAAATAGCAGTAAGTTAAACTAAATCATTCTCAGCAAATAATTCATCTCTATCTATGAGAATATTAAAGATGAAGAAGGATTCTATTTCCAATGTTAGTTTTTAAAAAAAAAAAGAAAGAAAGAAATAGAGATACTCAATGAAATTATAGAAGAGTGTAGTTTATTTAAGTGATTAAATGATCAGTGATCAAGTAACCATAGTTCATTATCTATGATTAAAGATAAAAGGATAATATATAACTTTGAACTTCATGAATAATTTTTTTCAAATCATATTCTGTAGTATTATATCACAAAATGATTTCCGGCGAATTAATATGTAATGTACGGCGGGAATAATGGAAATGAATGAACGAATGAATAAATTAGTTAATTAATGAAGATGCATTGTTTGGGCAACATCGAAGAAGCAGAGTTGTTTCTTCATTTTTTTTTCATTTAGAAATTATAAGTGAAATAAATGAAGACACTGTTGTGAAAATGAAATGAATTAGACAAATGAGTGTAGAATTTCATCCTCAAATATGCCATGAATTATTTTCAATAGAACAATTGAATTCGTTACATTTATTTCCTGCCCAAACATCATCTTTTGATGCATTTGTAAGAGAAATGAATGAATAGTTTATGTCAAAATTTCAAATTTCTTCAATATGCACATAAAAAATTTATGTTCCTTACAGGCATTTCGAATTTGTATCGGAGAAATTTGACACCATTAATATCTATTATTTAAAAATGGAATAAATTGTGATTATAGATTATTTCAAATATGGGAAATTATTTTATTAAAAAATTTCCGGTTATTTTTTATTATCTCACATTTACTCTTCAATAATCGTAATTTATTTACTTTTACAAAGTGTTGTTATCATCCTTCTACTAATTAAACATAAATCGAATATGAAAATTAGTAAACATTTGTAGAGTTACTAAAAAAATTGGGTATGAAAATAAAAAGAATTCTCCCTTTCAATTTTTAGTATTTTTTCATTTTATTTCTTTTTTCCTTTTTTCTTTTTTTTTTTTTGTTCGCCATACACACAGCAAGTTGTCATCAATAAAATCGATAGTTTGTAGTGAAAAGAAGAGAAATTGTCAGAGCCTGAAAATGGAGCATAATAAACGAAGTGTACGGGACAAACATAAAGCACATATATTCTAAGTCTATCAATATTTTTAGAAATATTCCTTTATTACAACTTTTTCTTTTCTTTTCATTGTATATAAACATTTAGGATATCCACGTAAATTATTATATTATATAAATTTATTATCAATTAGGATATTGTTACTTTTATTCCAATGGACAATATTTTTATCTTCAAACGATTGATCTAATCTTTTTTCCATTTTAATTCATATCTCATTTTGTTTCAGTTAAATTTATCTTCTTGCTATTAAACTACAAAATCCCCTAATTACTACTATTTTACTTCATTTAATCAGTTTTATATGATTTCATTTGATCTTCCTATCTATTTTATTTACTTCAATAATTGTCAATTTATACACAAGTTTTTTTTTTTTCAACGCAAAAAGAAATTTGAAATACGATTCATTAAAATTGCTTTCATTTTTCTTTTTTCAAAAATAAATTAGATGAATTTTTCAATGTTCCCCTATTATCTCATAATAATTTTTTTTTTACACGTACGCAAATATGAACATAAACACGAAAAGGTAGTAAAAATGCAAGAATGAATGAGATAAGTGCGAGAGAGATTACATCTGTTGCTTTGTTATTGCACAAAAAAAAAAAAAAAACAAAAAAAAAGAAGAAAAAGAAAGTTATCGTGGAAAATAACCATCATTTAAAATGAATGGTTTTTCTCTCTTTTTCTTTTCCTTTTCTTTACAACTCGTTAAAACAGTTGTTGAAAAATACATGATTTACGAGTATGATAATTAGAATAAGTTTATAAAACTAAAAATACAAAATATTGCTCTATTTTCTGCAATGAATGAAACAAAATTGAAAATATCATTTCAATCGACTGATTGCTTGATTCAGAATTATACAAAATTATTATGAAGTTACTCTTTTGTTTTTTTTTTTCAAATTTCGATCGTATTCTAACTTTGTAACATCAATTAAAATCAATCACTACGAAATTGATATCGATTCAATAAAAAAAAAAGAAAGAAATAATGCACTCGCAACATGTTCCCAAACCTATGCAATCGAACCATTTTGCATTATTACTAACGTCGTTCATTGATGGCTATATATGATCACTGATTTCGTTGCTTTTCATCCTTATCATATCGTCTGATCTTATCACTTTTTCAATCTTCACAAAATGGTAGTACTTTATTTATTAGTAAGTACATATTATTATCATAAAACAGTAGTATTTATGAGTATTTTCCATTTTCTGATAAAACGATCCATCATTTAATTTCTATAACATTCTGTTCCCTCCTGAAATATAATTATATTTTAACATTTTCAATCTCTAATCATTAATTATTTTTCAAATATGATTGATTTTATCAAAAAAAATTTTAATGTTTATTGCGGGATTTTGATGTAAAATATTTTCAAGGTGGAAATTTTAGTCCAAAAAAATCACAGAGAGAAAGAACGAAAGAGGAATAATTTTTTTTTTTTTAAGTAAATAAGTTAGATTTAATCTTAAATTTACAAATTGGGAATTATTTAATATATCATAGGGTTGTTTTGTTACAAATCTTTTCAGAAGTAGCAGTCCAGGAATTGCTCTTTATTGGAGCAAAATGTGGATTTTATTGGATCAGTTTCGGAAATGATTACGCTACATATATGTCTGAAGCATCCGGTTGGGCTGCTGCCTACCATAACTTATATTTATTCACTGGATATAAATTCGTTATCGATTTGTCATAGAATTCTTCTCCTTTGTTTGGACACAATTTGTTGAGCATGTCACACCGTTTTGCAATTCGAATCGCCTGTCGGGATATCTCCTCGGAACCATACAGCGTCATCGTGGATTCTCAGAGGACGAGAAAAATGTTGCTCTTCCAGTCATCGGCAATTACAACGATCTGTATGGCTTTCTATATTTTAAAAAATTTGTATTAATATTGATTCTTCCAGGTTTTCGACAAAAAAATCTGAAATCAATAAATTATTCAAATTTTCAGAAGTAAAATTATTCATTTTATTTCGGATTTTCTGATTTTTTCTAAACTCCTGATTTTGAATGCGAAAAAAAAGAAACTTTTGAAACAGTAAAAAAAGTTTATATTCTAATTTGAGTTTCCAGCAAATGTTGAATTACTGTCGGAATTAAGGAAGAACTATACGAAACTTATGGATGCCAGAGGTTTAGTAGGTGTGCTACGAACAAGTAAAGGTTCCGTTTTTCTCTTGTTTTTTTTTTTGGATTGGGGAATTTCCGAAAATTTGAGATTTTAATTGAATGATGCTTTTGTATCATAGATAAAGCTTCAGATGATGCTTACCTGTTAGCAGTTACTGAGGATGAAAGTGTTGGTGAATTACGTAACTGTAAAATTTATCGAATTTGGGGTGTGAATGCGATATCACTTAAAGGATCTGCCACGGCAAATCCAATGGATCCACGTATAAATGATGTAAGTTGTGAAATTAGTCTTAATTACAGTCACTTTAATTAAATACAGTTTCATGGAGGAATTGTGATGGGTTAGAATGTAAAGATTGTTTGAATTTGGAAAAAGTTTTAACTGACAAGAAAAAATTATTTTACTTTTTGGAATGATAATTACTGTTAGATCTTTTTTCATTAAATTCTCGATTTGTTCTAAAGGATTTGGAAGTATTGTATTCACTTTATATTTGGAATTCAATTTATTATAGGTATTGCGTCTGTTTTTATCAGGCAGTTTCTATTATGCTTCTCAGGATGACACTAGGGGTATTGACTTAACTGTCGGATCTCACAAATGCTTAAATTCTTCGAATGGCGACAGCCGTTTCTTTTGGTTAGTATTAATATTCGATTTTAACTCATTACTTAGGTAATTCCTTGCCAAAAAATTAGCTATTCAGGAATAAACATCTACACTACCCGTTGAAGCGATACAAGATTGATTCAAATGAATGGCTGTTACGGATTATTTGCGGAGCGGTTGTTATATGTCAAGTATATGTAGGACAGCAACGAGCTACGATCGCATTAATTTCTCGTTTAAGCTGTGAACGAGTCGGAACACGTTTTAATGTGCGTGGCATAGACGACGATGGTCACGTGGCTAATTTTGTTGAAACTGAGCAGGTATTTCAGAAATTCGAACATATGAGTTTTCTGGCTCTATACTTATTTCATACAACTAGAATTTTTATTTTCGGAATAGAGATTTAACGAAATATGTTTAATGATTGCTTTTTTCTTGCAGATCATTACTTTGGGTAGCGATGAGATCTCATATGTTCAAATAAGAGGATCTGTTCCTCTATTTTGGGAACAACCGGGTATTAATGTTGGCTCACATAAAGTAAAATTAAGAGCTTTCGAAGCTTCTTCTCCCGCATTTAACAGGTTCATTATTCACGAAAACGTAACAAAACCAATCTCGCTCCCTCAGGAGCAAGAACAATCTCGAATTATTTCAAATTTCCGGTTTCCAAAACTCCCATTATTCACTTTTCAGACATTTTCGTGCATTGAAAGAGAAGTATGGTGAAGTAACTGTCGTAAATCTTCTGGGTTCGAAAGAAGGTGAAACTCTGTTGTCGAAGGCATATGAAGTCTGTTTTAGTTTATTATATAAGATTATTGGTCGTTTGCTAGCATTTCTACTTTTCCTTTAGCTTAAATTGCACTACTAGAGATCACTTTTTAATATATTGCTGTAAAAATCATCCAAATTCACAGAAAGCAAAAGAAGGCTATGTTTCATTTTACTAATTATTAAAATAAGAAATTCGAGACAAACACATGTGTAAAATTTGCTGCTTTGATGTTATACTTCTACCGTTATATTTTCAGGCGCATTGCAAAAATTCAAGTTTTGTTGCTAATTACATTACTTTTGATTATCATGAAGAAAAAAGGAATTGTATGAAATTAATGGAGACATTAAAACCGAAAATTCGAAAATGCATGTTTTATAAACAGCAAAATGGAAATGTCTTATGGTTTGTTTTGATTTTATTATCTAATTGATCTTTTCTATTTCATAAATTAGTAATAACGAAGATGAATTCTACTAGAAGCAACGAAAGTTCATTTTCTTCTTGATTACTGGTTCATTAATCTATAAGTGATATCATGATTATGGGTAATATGATTCTTAATGTTTATCAATTATGGTAGAGATGTCGCTTACTATAATCTCTTGATCAGAATAGCAAGGTCTAAGTACACTTCTTTCCTCTTTTTTTTTTTTTTGAAAAATGAAGTTGGATCATGGAGCCATTCATTCGTATGCTGAATTTAATACCATGAATTCAATTATTTTTTAAGCAATCAAAACGGTGTTATTCGGGTAAATTGCCTCGATTGTTTGGATAGAACTAATGCGGTCCAGACTCTTATAGGATTCCAGGTAATTTTGTATTCCTCATTTTACTTTTTGTAGCCTTAATGATTTGGAAATTGTAGCAGTAAATATATTTTCAGGTATTGGGTATACAATTGGAAAGTCTTGAAGTTGATAAAAAATATTTTTCGAGATTTGAGGAACATTTAAAAGACATATGGCAACGAAACGGTGATTCGTGCAGTGTGATTTACGCTGGAACTGGTGCATTGGAAGGGAAAAGTAAAGTAAGTGGTATTCACTTTTGACGTTATATTTTTCATTGCAGTATTTGCTTAATTATGATAATTTGTGAATTATACAAAAATTCCATACATAGATGAAAGATGCAAAAAGAACATTGGTAAGGGCAATCCAAAACAATTTTTTGGATGCATCGAAACAAGAAGCGTTCGAACTTCTTCTTCAAGGAACATTTATTTGTGATAGTTCGTATAACGAACTGACCTGTATGATGCCGCGTGATATTCTTTTAGGTAAGTCTTGAAAATGATTTGAAAAAACTGCATGTTTTTTGTATATAATTTGTGTATATAAAAAAAAAAAAAACATGCAGTTTGAGATTGTTTGATGCTTTCTCCTATGCATTTTATTTCCACGTTTGTTTATTTTTAATTTGTATTAATAACTGAATTTGAGTATTTTAGAATTTCCATCGGTATTGAAAGATTTAGCGGAGCGAAAAATGGAAATGGTTGAAAACGTTCCGTTGACTCTTTGGATAGGAACTTGGAACGTAAATGGTGGCAAAAATTTCTCTGATATTGCTTTTCGTAATCAAACAAATTTGGCAGATTGGTTATTCCCACAACATTTCCGTGGTACATGCATTTATGATTATTTTTAAAGAGTAGAAGATTCCCACTGTTATTGAATTTTATCTTAGGGAAGAGGGTTGTAGTTGTGAGAATATTGTCAGATTTTTCAGTGCCAGGTTACTTTTGTCTAATTAATGTATCACATACAATTTAAATTTTAGGATTAGGTGGAGAAAACAACACTACGCCAGATATATATGTTGTTGGTCTAGAAGAAATTATAGATTTGAATGCTTCAAATATAGTCAATGCTAGGTAAGTTAGATCTTTATTGATTTAATTTTTCTACTGTAATTGTGCTATTCATATAATCGTCGTTTCATTAACTCATCTTTCAAAATGCTTTTCTTGTATGTTGCTGATTCTCATTGTACAAGTTATTTTTCAGTACAACAAATCAGCGTGCATGGGCTCTAGGTTTGCGTGAAGCGTTATCAAAGCGAAATAAATACATATTGTTAGGATGTGAGCAACTTGTTGGTGTATGCATTTTTGTTTTTATCAAACCTTCACTCGCCATTTCTGTGCGTGATATGTCCATAAATAGTGTTAAAACAGGTTTGCTCATTTCTTCTTTTGTCAATTATTTTAAAGTAGGTAGGCGTCGGAAGTATGTGCAAGTATGCAAAGCCATGTCAAGATCCCTGCAAGCCTTGTAAATGGTTCAAAAAAATTGTATAAGCTTAAGTTCAATTTGAAATGTGAAATGCAAATTTTTGCATATCCTACAGAAAAATGCTGCATTATGCCTACTTCCGCGCTTAATTTCTATCAAGTTGAACTGTAAATTTTATATTTTGTAGGAATGGGCGGTGCAACAGGGAATAAAGGTTCGGTAGCAATGAGCTTAACCATATATTCCACGACGTTTTGCTTTGTCTGTTCTCATTTAGCTGCAGGCCAAAATGAAGTTCGCGATCGTAATGAGGACTATATGAATGCATTGAGAAAAATCAAATTTTCTCAGGTAGTCAGTTTTTTTAACTTGTTAGAGGTTATCGCAAATTGATTTTATGGAAGTATGCTTCGTAATTTTTGCATCACAGAAGCCCTTGTGGATGTCGGGTGCAAGGATGCCGAAAATTAAGTGGTATCAGAGGTATATCAAGGCTTTTATTGCGAATGTTGCAAACATTTGACAAGTCATTGTCAGACATGTTGAATGGCTTAGCTTGAAATCGCGCAAGCGTTTACCAATAAGTTTTTTGCGGTTAACTTAACCATACGAATTTCGTAAACTTGCAAGTTCAGCATAATTTCAGAAGTTATGACCGAACTAATTACAACCATTTTCTGGTAGGTAACAACAACTGCAATACTCTTGCCTTATGATAGTAGAGAAGATAGAGATGTGTCGTAATGATATCGCAGTCAATGGTTCTTCGGTGGTTCGGTGTACTTATTCAAGTTAAAATTTTAGGGTCGTGGGATTCTGTCGCATGCCGTTATATTCTGGCTCGGTGATTTTAATTATCGAATAGTGTTATCGCGCAGTGAAGCTGAAGCAGTAATAAAATCCGGAAATATGGTGGAACTTTCTCGTTACGATCAGCTTTCTCAGCAGAAAGCTTTGGGTGAAGTATGCATTTTTTTTTCTTAATAAATTATTTATAATCAGGCTTCATATTTTTTTAAATTGTTTACACATTTTTTTAAAATGGTTTATTAGTCTACAAATCAACAATTTGTTAGTTAAATTGCTTTTGCAGATTTTCAAGGATTTTGAAGAAGGACCACTAACTTTTGCTCCAACTTATAAATATGACACTTTTACTGACGATTATGATACATCAGAAAAATGTCGTGTTCCTGCCTGGACTGATCGAATCCTCTGGAGAGAAACAAGCGGAGCAAAGATTGTGCAGTTGCTCAAGTAATTTTGCGATTTTTTTCCATTTGCTGAAATATTCCACTGTAATTTTTTTTTGTTGAGAATGTATATGCGTCAAGTTGTCTTTTATGGGAAAATCATAAATTATGAAGCTTTTTTTTTAGTTATGACCGGATAGAACTGAAAACTTCGGATCATAGACCAGTTTATGCTTTATTTCATGTTGATGCCTATAAAATCAATTTTTCACGATTTGGATTCGTTTTCAGAGACGTGGTCAGGTGTGGTTTGCAATTTAAAAATTGATATGTTTTTAAATTATTTTAAATAGTCCGTATGCATAATATATTTTTATAGTTCAATGGGTCCTCCAGATGGAACTGTGCTTGTATCAGTGTGCAATCTTGATAGTTTCCCTCCGGAACTACATCTTCCTGTTATCGGGAAACTTGATCTGCTTGGAATATCGCCGTCCATCAGCAAGTTTGTTTTACTACTTTTCTTAATTCCGATGTAAAATGATCGTGTTTCATGGTTGTAAAGTAAATTCTTAAGTCCATTGGCTTATAATGAAACAGAAAAATTAATAAAGGGAAATTAATTCAGATCATTCTTCAGAGTCGAATCTGATGTATTATGGTTAATTTTCAATAGTTGTGATATAGCCTTGGCAGCCTTAAGTTTGGATGGAGTAAAGATTGGAAATTCTGTCCTAAGTGTTCGGTTATTAACTCCGAACTGGACTGAACTAGAATGTACTGAAATGGATAATATGTTGCGAAATGTAAACGAAGACATGAATATGGAATGCATCGAACTAAGAAATGCAGATAATTTCGAAATTAATGGTAATTTTGAAAACTTGAACTGATATGAAATGGATTTCAATTTGTTAATAAATTGAAAATATTGTCAAATAAAACATTTGAATAAACAGGACTGAGTTCTCATTTCTTAACAGAAATCACTTCTCATTTAAATTTAAATGCCCAGATGAGGACGACTTATCAATGAAAGGTGGATCGGATAATCGAATATCTAGACTGAGATGTAGTTCTCCGCTGGATAGAAGCGAAATGGATCTTTGCCAGCTTAATGTGCCGAATGCACCTCCCAGGTCGGCATCATCACTTTGTTAAATGAGATATGTCCCTCAACAAATGATCTTATTACAAATGTAAATGTTCAATCAACACAGCCAACACCATTACTAATATCACTTCCAGAGCTGTTGAAGTTAGTGTAGCCGTCTCTATTCCTCCACCTGTACCACAGCGAAAGGAATTAGCCGACAAATGATTTAAGTTATTAGTAAATAGCAAATTTTCATCAGAATCAAGAACTGTATAATTATGTGTGATGTTGTAAAATGGAAAGTGTAAATTTAATTGTTCTGCTTCTTTGGATTAAAAAATATCCCCTATTGATGAATCTATCCCGGATCCAATAAATTCCCATGTCCAAACTGTCATTTATGTTTTAACCTCTGCAGTGGTAGTACAGTTCATGCGATTATATGAATATTTTTTTTATGATTTATTAGGCTATAGTATCTCTTAGGTATTTTAAAGATTATTAGAATTTTAGATATTCGCATCCAATATTCTTTTGCATGACACTTTTAGATGATTAAAAGTTGGAACAAAAGATTTTTTTTTTTGAAATTTTAATAACATATCATGTGCGAAGTAAAAGTAGGTTTTGTTTTTGGCTGGCCAATTTTCAGACACACATGAATTCGCATTCACAAACTGATAACAGTTGCAAAATCTCGATCTCAGTCAAACGGAATATTTCAGTTAAGAATTCCAAATAGATATATTGTTTGTTTTGCATTCTGTTTCATCGAGATTGATTTTAAACATTACTCATATTGTTTCCAGATATACAGCATATTATTTTATTTTAAATACTAATTCGAAATTAATGAGTTTAAACTTGTGCCGTCATATATTATTTTATATATTATTTAA